CTGGGCCACAGGCGCCCGCCACAACGCCCAGCTATTTTTTTGGTTGCAGCCATTATTGTTGTTTGGTGAGCCTGGGCTGGATTCAAACCCGTCACCTTAGGTGTATGTGGCTGGTGCCTTAGCCACTTGAGCCACAGGTGCTGAGCCAGTAGTGTATTTTCTTTATATGTCTTTGTGTATTATGATATATAAATGTGATTTCTCACAGTCTTCTGGTATCATTTTAACCACTTTTCAGTGAACTGTCTCTGTATGATTTTTGTTCTAATCATCAAATATGATTTATAAAATTGGAGAATAGTCTATTGTACCTACCTATTCCTGTTCTTTTTCTTTAATGTTTTAAGATTCCCTCTCATTTACTTCATTTTCTTTCTATTGAAGAATTGTTTAGTCATTCTTTAAGAGTAGGTTTACTAGTGACACATTCTTTTAGTTTTACTTTGTAGCTGATTCTTCAGATACAGAATTCACAGTTGACAGTTCTTTTCATTCATACCTGTAAAATGGTATGCCACTTCCTTCTGGCCTCTGTGGTTTTAGAGGAGAAATGTGCTGTCATTTGAATTGGTGTTCTCTTATACGTAGTGATTGTTTTTCTCTGACTCCTTTCTGAACTTTTTGTTTGGGCTTACTTAAGTTTTCAGAAGTTTAATTATGATGTATACAGGTGTGGGCTTATTTAGATTTATCCTATTTAGGGTCCCTCAGTTTTGTGAATCTGTAGGTTTTTCTTTAACTACGTAAGAGAAGTTTTCAGCTATTCTTTGAATGTTCTTTCTATTCTCTTTTTTCCTTTCTTCTGGAACTCTAATGTAAATGTTGACCTTTTGTTATTATCTCACAATTTCCTAAGGTTCTGTTAATTTTTTTAGTTATTTTCTCTTTATTTTATTTTTTACTCAAATAAAATTTGGGTGAATTTTATTAATCTGTCTTTAAGGTCACTGATTCTACCCTACCATTGATCTCATTTGACAATTTTTAAGTTTATTAATACGTTTTTAATTTTTATGTTCTACTTGATTCTTTTCCTAACTTCTGTTTCTTTGCATATATACATATTTTTTCTTTCTTTTCGCAGTTTTTTTTGGCCATGGCTGGATTTGAAACTGCTACCTCCAGCATATGGGGCTGGCATCCTACTACTTTGAGCCACAGGCGCCACCCCTTTGCTTCTATTTTTTATATTTCATTTGCTTAAAGAGAATTTTTAGGTGCTTTTGAAGTATTTTCATGCTTCAAAAATTGTTATCTGAAAAAAAATTTTTTTTTTTTTTTTTTTTTTTGAAACAGAGCCTCAAGCTGTTCCCCTGGGTAGGGTGCCGTGGCATCACAGCTCACAGCAACCTCCATCTCCTGGGCTCAAGCAAGTCTCCTGCCTCAGCCTCCCAAGTAGCTGGGACCACAGGCACCGTCCACAATGCCCGGCTATTTTTATTGGTTGCAGCCTTCATTGTTGTTTGGTGGGCCCAGGCTGGATTCGAATCCACCACCTTAGGTGTATGTGGCTGGCGCCTTAGCCACTTGAGCCACAGGTGCCAAGCCTAGATTCTTATTCTTTAGGTTCTTCTGCTATAAATTTTATTGCTTTAAGAGAAGTCATAGTTTAATCTAAGAACAGCATTTGGAAAAGCTTTAGCTGCTTAGTAGCTCAACAATTTTGAGACATAATGAATCATTTGTCAGATATACATAGATTAAAG